CTTATGTGTGGAGTTGTGTTGTGGGCCCGACTTTATACGCTATGCTTTGCGTGTTCACCTCTGCATAACAACTCTTTAAAATTAACGCCTTGCATCTTCTTCTGCATCGCGCGTTAAAGCTAATCTTTACATCTCCCTTTCCTCCGCCTCAAACTTTCCGCGTTCGGCTTTGCGCATATACCATTCCCCATAATAACGTGTTCCCGCTTAGTTTCCATTGTCCACCGAGCGCAACTGTGCTGGGCCTTGTGCCTTCCCGGTTGTCGCTTTGTGCGCGCCTCCAACTTTGCGCATCTCCGGTTTTGCGCACCGTGCGCAGCTTTATTTATGCTATCCCATCTACCTCAGCAGGCTCAACTCCTCTTTGTCCGCATCTTCAAAATTGTGCACATGGAGGTCTGCGCGGTCCAGCGCGCTTCCAGCTGGTTTGCATGCTTAAACTCGGTCGTATATCGCTGCTCCGTCTCGCGTGCTGCCTGCCAGGACATCGGCCCCGGCTGCTGAAGCAGGCAGCTGAGACGGAGCCTGCGCCTACTGAAGCAGGCAGCACGCGAAACGGAGCAGCGGTACACGACCCGGTTCCAGCATGCACGCCAGCTAGAAACCCGCTGGACCCACTAGTTGACAGTTGAAGCCACGACCCGCCACTGTACGGCGTTAAATGACAGCGTCCGGACCCCGGACGACACGCTCGCTCCCTACGGGAAGGAATGGGGAGCTGTCCACCTGTGTGTGGAGCCCCCTGCGGGTTCGAGTCCCACGCGAGCGTTTCACACTGGCTGACAGGCTAAAGTTGCGTGCTACCCTCTGCAACCTCAGTTTCCTTCCGCCTTCATATTGTGTGTGTGTGTGGCCCTTAAGCGCCATATGTGCTTCTGAGGGCCGCTTGCTATACTTGCTGCGGAATGTCTGATTTGCATATACCAAGCAGCCCTCCCGAGCATGGCGCATATTGATTCCGCGCAATGCAGGAAACAGCCATCAGCCAGCACAGGAGCTACGGCCCACTCGCGCGAACAGCGCGCTCTAGTCCGTCGTTCCGTCTCTCCGTCTGTCCACCAAGTCGTCGGTCGCCGTAGCTCCTACGAAGTAGGAAAGCGGAGGCCTTAGGCCGATCCGGCGTCCGTCTGTCCGTCGTTCCGTCTCTCCGTCTGTCCACCAAGTCGTCGGTTCAACCCCTAGCGCGCCGCTTTTTTTCTTTTTGCGCGCCGCTTTTTTTCTTTTTTTCTTCGGCTGCTTCATATGCTTCATATGCTTCATATGCTTCATGTGCACATATGCATCTTATGCGATATGCGATATGCAGCGATAGCAGATCGCAAACTTCGACGTTCCAACTTAAACACACGCACTTCACGATACGTGCACACGCACCTATGCATTATATGCTTCATATGCTTCATATGCACATATGCATATGATGCGATATGCGATGTGCAGCGATAGCAGATCGCAAACTTCAACGTGCAGACTTCAACACACGCACTTCACGATACGTGCACACGCACATATGCATGATATGCTTCATATGCTTCATATGCTTCATATGCACGTATGCATATTATGCGATATGCGATATGCAGCGATAGCAGATCGCAAACTTCAAAGTGCAAACTTCAACACGCGCACATATGCATGATATGCTTCATATGCTTCA